ACTTGAGAAAGGGAATTTTGGATAATTGTGACTACTCCTATGGCATGATTAATTCAGTGCTCACAGTGATTAAACAGGCAACTAAAGGGCTCAGAATGAGGGAGGGAAAAAAAAAGATAATGCAGAAAGTACAGTGACACCACAGATGAACCTCTGGTGCAACCAGATCTTGACTATTTGTTTTAGTTCTGGCAATCCTACCTTAAAAAATATATAATTGAGCTAGAAAACCTTGACAAAGATAGAACAGCTTCAGTATCAGCAGAAGCCTAAACTGTTTAGGGTGCTTCTACTTGGTGGGGGAAAGGGGTACACGAATAGAGATTCATAAAATCACAGAAGGTGTAGAGAGGCAAATGATTACTTGCAGTTCCTCACAATATGATACACCAATTGAATTATCAAGCAGAATTTTTAAAACAGACAGAAGGAAGTACTTTACACTGCCCATAATTAAATTTTGGAGCTCATTATGTAGGCTGCTGTGGAGACCAAGAGAATAAATGGATTCAGGGAAGGACCAACACATTCCTAGAGTAAAGAGCCATTATAAGCTATTAAGCACAAAGGTCTGGAAGCAGCCTCCAGCTCAGGAAGTCCTTAAACTACTGATTACTGGAAGCTGGGACTGGAATATGTCAGGGGAAGGATCACTCAATCTGTGCCAGTGCTTCTTTAAACACCTGCTACTGGCTGTTGTCAGAAATGGGCTACTGGACCAGGCGGATTGTTTTGATTTGACTGAAGATGACTCCTTTTATAGTGAATGCAAAAAAAATTGTGAATGTTGATGTTGCAGTGAAATAGTTGTTGCCCCTTGGTCAGGTCAAAAAGAGAACATTAGATGTCCAGAAGGCAGGCTGGGAACAGCTGGTTGAAGGATTGCTGTGCAGAGATGCGTGGGGAAAACTTAAATAATGCCAGAGTTTAGCCAGTACATTTTGTTCACGACTTTCATAAGCACCAAATTGCAGGAGTGAAAACCGCCTCCAAACAAACTCAGGTGCATATAAATTGTTCATACTGTATACAGTTACTCTCTGGCCTTGTATAGGCATTTTCAAGTTGTGGTTGGCAAAGCTTACAGCTGGCAGGCACAGGGTTTATCTATATTGAATATTCAAAGAAAAGCAGAGCTACTGTAACTTAAACGTCATTATACAAATGACTCCTTTTTTTTTTTTTTCAGTAAATATCTAGATTAACTTTGAGAAAAAGACTGCCGAAAATCTCTCTCCTGACTAATGTCCTAGCTGTAGGATCTGCGGAAGCCATTCTCTGCTTTTTATGGTCTCTCAACCTTGCAGCTGAGATTACCCCAATGGTAATTTATTCCCCTATGAAAGGAGGGTAGTAACCCCAGCCTGGAAAGGCAGCAGCAACTCCAACACCAGTGACAACTAAAATGACACTCAAATCTGTTAACCACGTGCAGCACTAGATTACTCTTTTCCAAATAGATTCTTCGAAAACTTAAATGAGCTGCTTATTATTGACTAATTGTCTTTTGTGGTCTTTGAGTATTCAGGCGTAACTCTGCTGTCTAAAAAACTAATTGGAGGATTTTTTTATATCCCTTAGGTGGAAGAAAAGGCTCAGTAAAGCCAAAGCCTGGGATATGAACTAAAATCCCCCCTAATCAAATATGTATCCTTTGATCTATTAAGTAGGTTGAGTCTCGCCTGACTTTTCAGCAAAATGAAAATGTAATGCTTTTTTAAAAGAAATTAAATCAGTTATTATACTTGAATAGCTTGAATGTCTCTTTACTTTTTGTTTCCAAGACAATCAACTGCTCTGTGAAAGAATTTCCTTAATGGTATCAGCTATGGAATTAGTGTCAGATATATGTTTTGTTTGTGTATTTCATGACATATACATGTATGTGCATTCATGCATGCTCACAATGATGGTGTGTTAGCTAAGTTGATAATAACATCTACTACAAATTGCAGGTTACTGGATATGAAAAAGTAATTATCAAAATACAGCTCATTATTTACGATGAGACATTTCCTTGCTGTTGGTTGCTACAAGAGCAAGCTGGCTGGTGTGCCCATTTTAACAAAGTTGTGGACTTCATATTCTGAGGAATGGAATATATCGTGAAAGTGTAGATTAACTTTTTCTGGCTGTCTCCTACCAGGGGAACAGTGATTACTTCTGCTTCTGTGGGAAAGGCTGCCTGTCGAGCCTGTATTTTCATTCGTTCTTCACACCACACAGTGGAGATGAGGTTGCTGGGAAAGATAACTAAAAGCTGCTTGTGTTACCTTACTATTAGAAAAGTGCCAGATGGTGTAATCTGCTAGTTAAAGTAATATATGATCACCTAGATACTCTGCGTCTGCTCTGTTATCAGATCTGTGCTACCTTCCCTTTCCACCCATTTTCCTATCTCTCATCTGCCTTACGCTTATTAGAAGGCCATGTGTTTGCTCTTTAGCCTAGCCTCTTTTTTTTTTTTTTTTTTCTTCTTCTGTGGGAAAGGCTTCTGCAGTGTGTGCAGTATGTTTTGCCACTCTGCGTCCTTTTGTTTTGAGCCAAAGTTCTGATAAGAAGCTGTGTAAAAGTAGATATTTTTAACTTGCCCTTGGGCCTAGGGGTCACTTCTGTTGGGCTCATGCAAAATTCCAATCCCTGAGATAATTTTAAGGCTTTAATATTAAAACAAACCTGAAAGAAAGGCATTGTTGTCATGCCTGTGTTTCATGTGCTTTCCAGACAAAGCCATAAATCCAGCTTGGCATGCAGAGGAAGGGCAGGCTGTTGGCACGAAACTGTGCCAAGCCTCCCTCAAAAGGCTCATCAGCTTGGGCTCACTTGTAAAGGAATGTGGGCCAAGTCTCAGGTTTTGTGGCAGGAGATTTGCACATCTCTAATTCTGACATGAAACAGTATCCAAGGCTTGATGCTGAGATATCTGTAGCCATTCATTAGGCATATTTACCTTTTCAGTGTCTGCTGAATTTGCCTTCCAGCTGTAAGCCATGTCCCCAGGCTGGTCAGATAAATTTGTTCTAGGAACATACATCATGGACTTTGCTTTAGTAAATTCGTTTAGTGGATGTGTGCAACTTTACAGGATGTATTGCTTGATAGGTAACAGGGTGTAAGCCGTGTTGGCTGAACATGTTGGCATTTTTCATCAAATTGCTAATGCTTTATTATTCAGCTGCCTTTGCTTAAGTACTACTTTGCACAAAGTGGATGCTGCCTTCCTCTGTTATGAGGACAGGACTAAGTAGGTTTGCTTTATCACTGTCAGTGATGCAGAGTGGAAAATGTGGTGCTGCCTCATTTCCACCAAAACAAATTGCCATGCTATAAACCATGAATAGGCATAAGAATGTACTGCTGTATTTAAGAAGCACTAATAACTAAGCTGATACCCAAAAACAGCATGGAAGGAGACTGCCAAATATTGGACACTGTTTTATCAAAAAATACATTTTAAAAAATAATTTTGTAGTTTCTTCTGGTTTATTTCTTTAAGGCTTTAATCCGGTAATTGAGAAGACGTGTAGTTTATGTTGTACTGATATATATGGCATAAAATCTTTCTGACTAAATTGTTCTCTCCTGATACACTGCCGAGTAGTGAAAGTATTTTCCTTGGGATCCTTCCTTCTAATGGGTTTTCATTAAATGCAAAGTATTTTGGAAAAAGCCCTTAATGTCTTGCCCACGTTGTTTAGAGTGTAAAGGGGGCACTGGATGATCAGAGGCTGATGTTAATGTGCTGAGTTGTTCATGCTACCCACCAGAAACTGAATTTAAGAAATTCTGATTCAGCCCGCCCAATTTTTGTGGATGTGCACTGTGAGCAGTGAAGCTTCCCAGCTCCTTTACTGTGGATATATATTGCACTGTATATTTTCGGGACAATGAAAAGATTTATTTAGCATATGGCTGACCTGGATTGTCATCACTGGCTCAATTGACCTTTATTGCCTTGGGACAGTGGTAGGATTAGGAGATGCTATAAATAGCTGTTGCACTGTGGGAGTGGTATCGCAAAAATGCACTTTACACAAACAGACTGTCATTTCACTTTGTGGGGGATGAGTGTATTTGGCTTACAAAAGGAGATTTCTCCTTGAGATATTTTTGAATCACTGCAGATGAAGCTGTGAGATTGTTTTGGCCACCACCATCAGGTGCCATAATGTTATGAAGCTTTATGAAACCTACTGTCCAAGTGCAGCTGAGCTTTGTGTCAGCAGTGTGCTGTGCTTCTTTCCACCTGATGGCTCACTATTCAGGGCTGATCTGGCAGGGCTGGGTGCTGCTGGAGAAACAGGCAGTGTTGGCACTTGTGGAGCTCCAGGAGTGTTTCTGGTCACCATTTGTGATTTTTGAAGGAGGCCACGTCTATGCCTCAAGAGCTGTAAGAATAACTTACAAAGAGAGAGAATTGAACTATAAGTGTAAAGAAGCTGTAATAACTGGAAGAGTGCTGATATGATGAAAAAGGTAGTAGTGTATAACTCCTCTTCCTGACTAAATGGTGTCCCCATGTCTTATGTAGTGTGATGCTGAATGGATGGCTTTTCCCAGCCTATAAACTAAGTAAAAGCAATGGATGTTGCGCTCTATATAAATTCACATTTTGTTCCTCCGGTAAAGGCTATTTGGAATTATGCATAAATTGATTCAGGAGGTTTTGCTGGTGTGGAAGGAATAGGTGTAACAAATGAGGACTCCACTGAAACTGGCAAACGGAACCGTATGTAGTCCACTGGATTTGCTGTTTTAGCTTAGTGTCACATGAGTAACTGATCTTCATTAAACAATAATTTTCAGTGATCAGATTACTTTATTCTTCTCCTAAACTGCTTTAGCAGGAGATGGCATTCAAACACCATTTCACTGAAGCTGAAATTAGATGCTGTACTGCCTCTCCTGATTTCTGGAGAAGGGTGGGGTGGTTAATTATATTGGGTAATTATGTTGCATATACATTCCACTTATTTGGTTTTTTTCTCTTCAATTTGCAGGAAAGCAATCTCCAGGTCAGGCCTCCAGCACTTGGCTCCTGTGCATTCCCTCAACATTGCAGTCTCCAATGGACCTGTGAAGGAACCGAGGGCAGCCTTAGAATGGACTGTAGGTGTTTGGGTTTTTGGCAGTTAATTTGAGCAGTATTTCTGGCTAGTGCTCTCTCCACCCTTAACATAAGACATTGTGTTACTCTCAGAATTAGCACTGGCCATTAGTAACATGCTTCTGTAATAAAATGAAGCACAAGGCAGAGACATGAAATCTTGTGACGACTTGAGCAGCACAAGAGAGAGCTGTTTTAGATTTTTCCAGCTTGGGAACTGTCTGGCTACATTTGCTCACTGCTGTCTTGACAAATTCTGCCATCCAAAAATGATCTGCTTTTAGCACAGAAGGGTTTTGTACCTATGCTTGTTGGGCCAAAATTTAAGGCTGAAGACGTGTATTGAGTTGTCTGGGTCTGCAGAGTAGGTAGTAGAAATCTTTGGTCACTATGCTTTTAGTTATGGGTAGATTTCTTCTCAGCCCAAGCTGGGTTGTAGACACAGAGTGTATGTTACCATCCACCCCATCTTGCTTCTCTTAGTTCTGTTTCTGGGCTAGTTCAGAAGGGGCCAGTTTAGGACTGTCTAGAATGTGATAGAATATTTCAGTGGGAAGGGACCTACAACGATCACCTAGTCCAACTGCCTGACCACTTTGGAGCTGATCAAAATCTAAAGCATGTTATTAAGGGCATTGTCCAAGTGCCTCTTAAACACTGACAGGCATGAGACATCAACTGTCTTTTTAGGAAGCCTGCTCCAGCACTTGATCACCCCCTCTGTATAGAAATGTTTCCTAATGTCAAGTCTGAACCTCCCCTGACATATCTTTGAACCATTCCCATGCACCTTCCGTGTGGTTATGCACTGGTATGTGCTAAGAAGTCAAGCCTTAAGTGAGCAGGTCACACAGTCTCATTTAAATCAAAGCATACAGTAGATCTTACATATGGCTGTTGGTAAAGAACTCAGTACATCACAGTATCAAGGCACCAGCCACCCAGGTGGCTTTTAGGTGAAGATAAGCCATATTCAGCAAAACATATGTTATGTTTATTTCTCTGCTCTATACCAAGACTCAATGGCTTTCTAGATGGCGTGCTCTGCTTCAACTCCAGCTGTTGCATTTCAAGTTTAAGGAGATGAAATTTTACAGGCTGTGCTGCAGGAAGCTGGATTAGATTTGCTATGATCTTCTACAGTACTGTACTTTAACACAGGGTGTTAAAATGAGTTTGATAGCTTACACAGAATCCTCTTGGAAGAGCTTTGGAGAATACCTTGATCTTCCCCTCCAGGAAAACTCAGGTCCTGATTCAGCAAGGTATTAAAACACGTGTCTGCTTTGAGTCATCAATGCTGTTTAGTAGAAATATGAAGGATCAGTCACATATGTGAAGGGTTAGGCACAGGCTAAATTAAACACCTTTCAAAATTGTACTTAGAAAACAACAACAGCGACAAAATCCCGAAACAAAAAACATAAACCCCAAACCCCACAACCACAACTTACCCTTCTTCAAAGTCAATTGTCTGCTACTCATTTTACAAGGTGCTTCCTTATGTGATTCCACTACATAAATACTGCAAGACTTGATATAGGTTGATTAAATATTGTAGGTTTTAAATGGGGGGGGGGGGGGGGGGGGGGGTGATGCACTCTCC